TAAAAAGATCAGAAGAACTGATACTAAGTAGCATCACTGAATGTTCTATACACTTTAACTATGTTTTAAAAATTCCCTGAGAGGTAGTACTGTGTTTGTACTATGAGAGGGAGAGGAAGAGAGACAGACAGACGGACAGACAGAGACTAACAGACATAGAGAGGCAGAGAATCAGAGAAAGAGAGACAGAGAGAAGTGAGGGAATTTAACATTTAGCACATAGGACTGACTTCCAAGGCTTTGTATTCCATAAAATTTCTCAGGGCTTATTTATCTGAAAGAAACTGCTTTCTTTGGACTTTACTTGGCCCCAGTTGTGTAAAAAGTATGCCTATACTCAGACACCAGTATACACCACTGTAGCGTAGACCCTCCAAAGGCCTCTCCAGAACTAATTTTTCTTGAAATCAAATGGGAAAATGAACTGTTCTATTTTGTAGACTAAGAGTTACCTTTTGCTTTGTTGTGTACATACTTTTGCTACAACTATTTGATTGTGTTATTGGAAAAGGTAGATAAAGACCATCTACCTGCTTGCTTGTTACTGTAGGGTAATTCCCCCCCCCCCATTTACCTTTGACTCTGACTGTCTCTGTACTAACCTACCAGAGGAAGTTACTTGAATGCTCACCTTCTTTTACCCGTTTCCTTAGGTAGTATCTGAATTCACTCTCCACCCAACCCCTTATCTCTAGCTATTAAGATTGTCAAAAGGCCTTTTACTCTCAGTTTAGAAGTAACCCACCCAAACTCTTGTCTAACTGCATAGACACAATAGGACCTCACTGTTCAATATTCCTGTTCAAGAGGGGTTTTCCCTGTCAATCTCTGAATAAATCTGAAGGGCTAAAAATATTGGCAGCAGCAATATTTCTCCTATTTATGTCACACAGATTTCTGGTTACTATTTTCTGAGTTTTCCATGCTGGATTTCAGTTCATAATATGTGATTCCAACTTTCCTGCCAAGATTAGGGAAAATCCACAGGATGGCTACTGGTCACTTAAGAAGAAACAGCCAAAGATGTATCGCAGTTTTAAAGCATTCTAAGGGAAAAAAAAAACATATCTGGGCATGCACTATATTGAATCCCTTTTTTCCCTTTTCAGTCTTTTTTTGCTGGGACAAATAAGTGGACGCTTCTTGTTACTCACTTACTCAGGTGAGCAAATGTTCAAAGTTTTCCAAGGGGTACAATTATAGTGCATGCACATTTAAACTTTGACAGGGAGAACCCCTCTTATACAGTGATGTTTACATTCATTGACTTTGCAGTTACAAAAGTTTCCCAGGGGTTCTCTCAAAACTAAGCACAAATGCACATTGAACATGCATATATGTGGTTTTGAATACATCTTACACATGTACATTGTTGAATATATGTACAAACATGTTGTATATGTATGTATGTATATCATACATCCATATTATATATGCACTGATAGACGTATTGAATAATTAAATGGCTCATTAAATCAAAACTAAAATCGAAGATGCCGTTAGTGCATGACAAAACCCTGCAACAATCTGCTTTACAGGTCCAAGACCTAATTGCAAATATACTTTTAATTGAACAACCATTTTGGATATTTCCCTCTTTAAGGTAGGACTTTCATTAGGCTAAGTAGTATATCAAACTCAGTGTTGAAAGGTTAGGAGGAAAACACGGCTTCAAGGACATAATCTCTTTATTTGTAACAGCTGAGTAATTCCTTATATTTGCATCCAGATCTCTGTACAGCCTAGAAATGTATCACTAAACATAAATTTGCAAAGGAAGAGACATGTAAGCCACTTGCTGATGCCTGGAATGTCAAACTTCAAACATGGCCAAGGATGGCTCATTTCTTTTGGAAACATTCGCCAACATCTGAAGGTCAGCCTGAAAGGGGAAAAAAAAAAGCAAAAAAAAAAAAAAAGCAAGCTCCTCCAGATCCAGGTTTGTTTCAGGTGAGAAAGTTGAAGAAAATGGGGGTTAGGGAGAGGGAGCAAAGAGGAAAACAGATCATAACATCTACCCTTAAAATTCCATATGGTAAGACACTACAAATGTTTCGTTTAATTGGGGAACTATGATGGAGAAGCCCTGAGCTGTCCAATAGCCTCCCATACTTTAAAAACTCAGCTGCGTCATCGATTGGTAGTGGAGTTAGATTTTCTAAGCTCTTGGGGGCCCTGACAGTGGAATGCTTCGGGCTTGTTAAAACCAAGCGAAATTCTTCTAAGAGTTAATCCCTGTGCTGAATTGCATCGTGCAGAGTGTTCTGAGAAAAAGTGAACAATAAGTTATTTGAAGGAAGTTAATAAGAATCTGCCTTTGCATTAGAAATGCATTTAATGAGTTGGATCTCTAAAAAAAAAAAGAAATTGACTGAGCAGGAAGCATATAATAATTGTCCTCATTTAGTATGAGGAGGGCTCACTATATATTCAGGTTTTTCCCCTCTTTTCACCTCCCCCACCCCCAAGAAAGAAAATAGTTATTTTATCTCAAATAGGAGAATGTCTTTTTTTTCCTCCATTCACCAACCTCTTTTTGGGAGCAGAAGTAGGCACTCCTGCACTTGGAGAACTGTTGTAAGCCAGCCAGAGCAGAGCAAGCACACACAGTTGGACAGTCGGTCTCTGGGCCCCCTTGCTCTTCTGCTGGAGACTGTCCTAAAGCTAGTTAGCGGTAGATGCTGATTTCCGTCCTTGCCCCTTTAAATCGGAAGGCATTGAAGACTGCACCATCCGGTAAAAGCAGACAAAGGAAATTACCTCATTGCTTGCTCAACACTCAGCTCCCTCTTAACCTAACGGGTTTCTCATCGGCTACTTTCACGCACCAGTAGCTCTCCGCCACTTAACTGCACAGAATGGGAATCAGACAGAGTATCTCCTCACTGAAGTCCCTGATCTCTAACCGCAGAAGAAGCAAACTCGTGGCCTGCCACCCTCCATCCGACCTCAAGCCCTGTGGTAGTCACACTTGGCAATGGGAGCTGGCGGAAGAAAGAGAGAGAGAGAGAGAGAGAGAGAGAGAGAGAGAGAGAGAGAGAGAGAGAGAGAGAGAGAGAGAGAGAGAGAGAGAGAGAGAAAGGAAGGATGAAAGAAAGGAAGGACGGAAGGAAAGAAAGAAAGAAGGAATCAGAAAGAGAGGGGAGGGGAAAGCAAACCAGCCCCACCACCAGCAACGGGGGGGGGGGGACATGGGGAAGTTAGGCATGTAGTCAACAAGTGTCAGTGAGCAAACTTAACCAGCTCCCGCTTCCCAGGGGAGTTTTGTCTCCATAGCTGGGGAGCGCAGCTTGTTCCTGCTCTAGGGAGCCCCCTCCATTCCCTCGAAACACATTGTGGAGTCAGACGCTTTTAATGGATAAGACCTGGGCAGCTTATGGAAATGAAAATGAACATGGTTTAAAGAAAAAAAAAAGACGAAAATCCTGGCTTCTGAGGCGAACGCCCCTGGAGTAAGCCAGGCGATCGGCAGGCAAGAGCCGACGTTGTAGCTCTCCTGCAAGTAAAGGTGCTAGACTGCCAGGATTTCTCACTGAAGAAGTGGAGGAAGATCGGAGAGGGAAAGAAAGCTTGGGGTCATCTTTTTCTTCTCTGGAGGCTTATTTTTATTTGTTTCTTTTGTTTTGTACATATTTTAATTTTTTGTGGGTTTGTTGTTGTTTTGAGGGAAGGGATGTAGGGGGAGGAACTGGAGCTAGAAAGGGTCAGGGTTTAGGTGGCTATTTTCAATCCGTCTTTAGGAAAAGCTTCCCTTGTCCCTACTTTGTGTCACAAAGACCACCGGGTATTGTTCTATCAACGAGTAGACACTAACCATCTCCAGCCTGCCACAAACTCGAAAGTAGATGACCTTGGGCCCCCGTCGTCCGGGGGCTCAAATACCGATCTTCCTCGTTTGTTTATCGGGCCTTCTGCCTGGGGAGCAGAGAAAGCAGATCTTAGTGGGGAGAGGGAGGAACTGAAGAGGAGGAGAAAGAGGAGGAGACAGACATCGAAACAGAAAAATATAGACAAACAGAAGGGAGGAGGGAGGGGGGAGGGGGGGGAGAGAGAGAGAGAGAGAGAGAGAGAGAGAGAGAGAGAGAGAGAGAGAGAGAGAGAGAGAGAGAGAGAGAGAGAGACTTAGGTAAGCAAGCTAAGTACAGGGATTTCCAAGGCAGAGGATGTGCCTACTCTCCAGCTGCTGCCTGATTTCAGCTGGATTATGGCTTTCTCTAAGCCCATCCCAGTTCCCCAAGCTGAGAGAATAGTTGAAGGAGCGCCTAGCAGCAGCTCGAGTTTACATAGGACTTCCCGCCGCAGCTGTAGCCGCCGTAGGGCTGTTTTAGCTCCGTGGCCAACCTCTGCTTCTCCAGTGGCCCAAGACCTCGGCTTAGCCAGGGGACATGGGAACAGATCTGAATCTGTCAGTTAAACCGTTAAATATATATATATATATATATATAAATATATATATATATATATATATATATATATAATATATATATATATATATATAATATATATATATATATTCTTAATGAAAATACCAGCCATGATTCAAAATGTTTTTTATTTTTGAAGAATACTGCAAAACCAAAACTGTTTTGAGAAAGGACGTGGGGGAGGGGGAGAGGGGAGACAGAGAAAGAAAAGAATTGGTGCCCCAGTCATAGCGCATGTGCAGTGTGAATGTGTGTGTGTGTGTGTGTGTGTGTGTGTGTTTCCCCGTCCAGCTTAAAGCCTTTCAGTCTCCAGCAGGACCTGTCATCAATGACGTCAATCATTCGGCGCCGGCCAATCAGAGGGCGGGGTAATTGTTTAGCTCTCTGGGCTGCAGCCGTGTCCATGAATCTCTATTCAGTATCTCCCTGCGTCCTGCTGCTGCCTCTCAAGCGTATGGGACTCCACGTAGGCATTAAAAAGAAAAAAAAAAGCCAAAACTTGGAAAAAAAACTTTGCAAAAGTTTTTTTTTTCTTTTCCTCCTCCCCGCTGTCAGGTGACTGTAGCGTTAGAAGCCATGAGTGTGGAGGCTTTGGGGAGCCCAGTGATGGAACCAGCTGCACTCTCCAAACGGAACCCGGCGCTGAGATTAGTTGACTTGGCAGGGGCTCATCATCACCTTCACCACCATCATCACCACCATCCCCCACAGAGCGTCACAGGCTTCCCGGGGTTCGCCGGTCACCCCCACTCAATGGCTCCCTCGCACCCTGGGGAGTACGCTGCTGAATCCCGCCTAGGGCCGAGTCCATTCCGAGCCGAACACATGGGGCACCACCATCATCCCTCGGCCCTCAAACTCAGCCCTGCCCATCATCCTCATCCCCACCACCGACACCAACATCATCATCATCACCACCACCACCACCACCACCATCCTTCTCCTCCTCCTCCTCCTCCTCCTCCTCCACCTCCTCCACCACCTCATTCTATGCCAGGAGGCCACGCTGAGGTGGTCGGTAGTCCAACCGGACCGTTTGGCCCAGTGCCTTCGACAGCTATCCCTTACCCTGTCTCCCACCCCGCTCAGGCGCTTACAGCAGGTAGGGACTTCTTAATACGCAGAGATCTGCCAGCCCCCATGATGCCAGGGCTAAGTGAGCAGCCCCCCGCTCCCAATTCTCACCACGGAATGTTTGTCTCAACAACAGGTAGCTATTCTGGACACCATGGCCACCACCACCCCGAAGCTGGGCATCACTCTCTTTTCTCTGGACTTCATGAGCCGCCTCCCCAGGCCTCCCCAGGTGGCCATCTGAACGGACAGATAAGACTGGGGCTACCTGGAGACATGTACGCCAGGTCCGAGCATTTCACTCAAGTGCCCGCCTCCAGGACAGATCCTTTCGCTGCAGCTTCTCTGCATAACTACGGGGCCATGAACCTGAACGTGAACCTAGCTCCCCACCACGGCCCCGGAGCCTTCTTTCGCTATATGCGGCAGCCCATCAAGCAGGAGCTCATCTGTAAGTGGATCGAGGTGGAGCAAGCGCCCAAAAGACTTTGCAACAAAACTTTCAGCACCATGCACGAGTTGGTAACTCATGTCACGGTGGAGCACGTTGGCGGCCCGGAGCAGTCCAATCACATCTGCTTCTGGGAAGAGTGTCCGAGAGAGGGGAAACCTTTCAAAGCCAAATACAAACTTGTAAATCACATCCGAGTGCACACGGGGGAAAAGCCCTTCCCCTGTCCTTTCCCGGGGTGTGGGAAAGTGTTTGCTAGATCAGAAAATCTCAAAATACACAAAAGAACTCACACAGGTCAGTATTCATCGCTCTCTATCTTGTTCAGCAACAATGATGCAAGCAAGCGGTGTATTTTGTGTACCCTCAAGGTTTGGTTTCCTTAGATTTCAACTTTTGTATTTTTGTTTTCCCATATGCCAAAGTTCATAAAATATTAATTCAGTTTTTCTATTTTTAGATTCATTCAACTTTTGGAGGCTGAGGGCGTTGCTACGATGTTTCTGTTTATACAGGAGGGTCAGGGTGGGAAATGAGTATGTGTGTCCCTTTGTATGAGTTCTGCGTTCACATGATTTAAATATTTTAGGGTTTATGAAGGTGTTTTAAAAATCAAATCTGTGTGGCAAGCTCCCAGTGGAAGAGTGAACAATGGGCCTCTAACTTTTTCCAGGCGGTCTTGACTCCTGTGGCTGAACTCTTCCGGCCTTTAAATTGGTGATTCTTTCTCACTGCTCTGGGGTTCAGCAATGAAAATGATGTTAAGGGGTCTTTGCAGAACCATATGTATCTGGATTTTGAAGTCCTCCCTTTTTAGACTTGCAGAGGCAACAGACCCCACGCATTTTGTGAATCCTCACCTCTAGCCAGAGCCTAGAAACGATTGGGCCTATCTGCTTGAAATGTCATTTACAGAACTGTTAAGTGAAATGGGGACATGTGTCAAACACATCTGTTAGTTCTAGTTAACAGAGAGAAAAGTCGCTGGATGGAAGATCCTGCAAAGCTTAAACTCCTCCGGCCAGAAGCATCTATAATTAATGAAATTGCAAGGAGAAAGTTTTCACACTTCCCGGAACAGCCTGTGAAGTTGTATTAATTAGTTTAGCAGCCGGTATTTGTAGTCTCTTTAGCTATTAAGTTTTTTCTGTTCGAGTACCAGTAACCTCCCCTCCCCCGTTTTTCAGGGGAGGGAGGATTAGAGGGAGGAAACAGGAGGGAGGGAGAGAGAAAAGGGGAGGGAGAAAAGAGAATGAAATCTATTCCAATATAGTTGTTCTTCCCCTCCCCCCTTTTCTATGTTCCTATCCACCCCTACTTCTGCATCACCTCTACTTTATAGAGTAACTTACAGGCTCACTATTAGAAGTCTTGCTTTCTAACGACATTGCTTACTTCTTCGAAGAACGGTGTCAAACGTCCCCCTTCTTCCCAGGGTAGGTCTCTTGGTTTGAACCTACTCAGAGCTATAGACCTGAAGAATACTAGGTAGAACTTTTGTCCATTCCCTCCTCCGCTCTCTTTTCCCTACGCGGGCCCAACTTAGTACTTTCTTGACTCGTTCGCTTAATTGAAGGCAGCATTTTTTTTTTCGGCTGGCTATTTTACAGAGTATCAACTCTGAGATCTTTTTAGTGTATAAGCAGACCCTGGATTACCACAACGTCTCAGGGGTTAAAAAGAAATATCTATGTTCCAAGTGGCAAGAATAACACCTCTGCTACCTTTTTGTCAACTCTGAGCAGGTAGAAAGAGTCATTAACAGGGCAACTCATCCTTAATGACAGCGTGTTCCTTAAGTAAACAAACTTTTACTGCTCTTTACCGGCCCACTGTTTGAAGTCTCTGAAGCAGAAAATGGTTAAATTCTTAGTGAAATTGACCTACAGCAAAGAAGCAAGTTCAGGGAGTCGCAGTGCGCGTAGGTTCGGGTTTGTTAACCACAATTTTCTAAGTATCCACTTTTCACTTTCAACTTCCATTGTGATTAATTACCGCGCCGAGTAAAAATCCTACAGGGCCTTGCCTTTTCCCGCGTTTCTATTAAACACCCTAAGTTGTCAAAAAAACAAAATGTTTCTGAAATTGCAATAGAACTCTCTACAAATTATTCATGAAGACAGTTCTAGATTCAACAGGAAAATAATTGCCTTTTCAAATATTAATGAAGTTTCATTTCCTCCAGTCCGGGGAAGTAGTGAAAAGCAATGATTTCCTGAGATTCAGAGAATTTCTCTCTTACAATTAGGGGTCTCACTTAAAGGCACTTTAACCCGGCCAGCACTGAGGGGTTTGCTTTACCTTGTGGCGATTAGGAGGAGGCAGCAGGAACAATAGGGAGATCGGGGAGGGGAGGAGAAAGAAGGGAGACCCTAGCCCCGCTCGCCGCTGTTGCTTTGGTTTTCTCAGGCACTGATCTTGCCTCCTGAAACTCAGGCTCCTAACCTTCCCTCCTACAGGGTCCCTTCTCCCTCCCCCTGTTCGTGTAGCCAAACGTAAAAATCTCGAGGTGGAGCCCCGTAGAGCAGGAAAAATAAAACCGACCCAGTGGAATTTCTCTCTAAATACTTGTGCCCAGCTACAAGTGTGCTATAAAATGGCGGTTGCAGAGGGGCCGCCCCAGACTTCCTAACTTGGCCTGGCAGCTTGCAGTGGGAGGCGGGTCCCTTGAGCCCCAAAGGGGGACGGCCCGGCTCCGCTTCCCGGGCCAGCCTGCTCGGCCCGGGACATTTATGGCATCCCAGCAGAGGCGGGAGGAGCAGGAGCCCCAAATCGGCGTGCAGCTGAGCTCTTCAAAAGCCAGGCTCGGATGATCCACGCCCTGCATTCGCTTTCTGAAGGCCAGAGCTGCTCTCCTAGACTACGCTCGGCATTCACGGGTCGACTCAGAGCTAGTGAGCCGGACCGAGACGCTTACTGGACCGCCGACCCTAGCCGAGACCGAGGCAGGACTGCTAGGCTAGGACTGGCAGACTGGCTGCAGGGTCCAAAGGAGAAGGAGCCAGGGCCGTTGAGGCCGAGGGCTTGGAGCTCCAGAGAAAGAATGAGCTGCAGCCACTACGCTGGGCCTGTCTTCCTTACCTGCCACGAAACTCCCCCGGCTCCGGCACTGGCTTTACGGGTCCTTTTCCCCAAGGGCCTCCTAACTTACCGTTTGCTTGTACTACCCTAATATCCTTCCTTCATTGTTGACTTGGCTCCACGGCCGGAGGTCAAATCATTGTTTCTTTATGTGAAACTCTAATTAGGCAGTCATAAGAAGATTTTTTTTTATTCTGGAGGAAAAAATATAGCCTTTAGAATTCCCCGATCTGTTTTCTTAGTGAAGCTCTTTCTTCCTTTGCAGGACCTTGATTGCGTCATTTTTCTAAATGATTTTTTTTTTAAACAAAAGGAAAGACGAAGTTTTTTGGTTATGCATTCGAATTGGACCAGTGGGGGAGAGGGAGATAAGGGGAGAACATGTTGACAGTGATGACACTGATTTATTCTGCCACCTTTTTTTGCCCCTAAAAAGAGGGTTGTGTGATAAATGAAAAATGAAAGGCACTGTTGTGCGGGGGGGGGGGGGGGATTGGGGGGGGAGAAGGAGAAACATTTGCAAAGTAAATTTCAGGGAGAAGAACTGTCCAGGGCTGGTATTCTTCAAAAGACATTCATTTTCATGTGAAGCAAGTGTGTAGGCCTAGATTCATTCAGATCCTACATTCATACAGATGGGTGGATAGGCAGATAGGAAGGCAGGTAGATGATAGATAGCTAAATAGACAGACAGATAGACAGACAGACAGATAGATAGATAGATAGATAGATAGATAGATAGATAGATAGATAGATAGATAGATAGATAGATAGAAACATACACTCTAAGTCTCTCTCCCTTAGAAGTCTATCTTGTTGAGTAAGGCTTTGTTTACATCAGCACCAAATCTAGATCATTTCATGGGAACATATTTTTTTTTCCCGGAGTTGGCTTTATGATGAGATGGGGAATGGGGGTTTAGAGGATGGGGGTTGGTCTTCATTTGTAGCATACAGTCTCTATGTACAGTGTAATAACCTCTGGCACCGAATAGCACCCAGCTATATTTAAGTGCTTCAGTCACACACTTCACTTGATTTGGAAGCATTGACTGTGAGACTAGACAGGCTGCAGATAAGGAAACACTTTTTGGAGGCGTGGGAGTAAAGCAGTACCTAACTGACCCTTATTTGGCTCATTATTTTGCCAATAGGTCCTACAGGTCTTATTTTGGCTCCTGGGCACATCTATGCATCCAAGCCGAGAAAATCCCTTGCTAAATCTCCAGAGTACAGGATTTCTGTTTGTGCTTCTACGAAGGTGGGCCCTGGCCTGATTGTGATAGTTTGGGGGCAACCCTGGCCCTAATCGAATCCGTCTCCATCTATGAAGGAGATATTAATTCATAGCAAGGCCTGCTCTCTAACTCTAACAACAGGCAGGGTTGGCCCCTTCACCTCTGCTTAGGACTTACAGCACTTAAGATCTTGCCTTCAGCGGTTAGTGGAGACCAATCTGTCTTTTAAACACTCCATTGACAATAAAACCAAGTAGCACATGTTAATATCTTCGGGAGGCCGTTGTAACCCATATAATAAAATATTATTACATTCATTCCAGTATAGAGAGATAGAGGATTATTTAGGAAAGATTTGAAGAATGCTGCTAAATGTTTTCCCTCAGGGGGTAGACGAGAGTGGGGGAAAAATGGATTTCATGTGAAAACAGCCTCAGAAGTGAATCATTGCCCACTGAGGAGCTCAGAATACCTTTCCCCGAAGACAGAATACACATTGTTTACACGCAGTGTGCAACTGCAGTTGGTCTTTAAATTATCTGACTGCTTTGTCATTTGCACAAAACCCACTTTACAAAACAATTTGGGCTGGAGGAAGAAAGCGTTTGGGTCTAAGGACAACTTTAAATTGGGTAGATTCTGGCTTCACTGCCAATATTTTTTCACGGTGTAAAGTGGGCTCCGTTCAGGCGAATGGATTTTGGCAACTCAAGTGGGGAGGGGGGAGGGGGGCGGAGATAGATCCATTGGGATTTTAAACGATGGAAATTAAACTAAGATGGAGTCACCTTGTCTTTCCATCCCCTTCTCCCAAGCTCCCAATTCCCAAACCGTAGAGGGGGGGGGAGTGGTTAATAGATCTCTATTTATCAGGGGATGTGAGCCGGTTCCATTGGGGGAGGGGAAGTTGGGGGAGATTGAAAGTCCTGGGGCCATGTGCAAGGGTTTTCTTTTCTTCTCTCTCCTCCCCCCCCCTTTTTTTTGGGGGGGATCTTTTGTTTTTTGTTTTGCAGAGAGACAGAGACAGAGAGGGAGGAAGGCTCCCAACCCACCCCCTAACTAATGTATGTAATCGTTAATTGCATTCTTTCAGGAGAAAAACCATTCAAATGTGAATTTGAAGGCTGTGACAGACGATTCGCGAACAGCAGCGACAGGAAGAAACACTCTCACGTGCACACCAGCGACAAGCCGTACAACTGCAAAGTGAGAGGCTGTGACAAATCCTACACGCACCCCAGCTCCTTGAGGAAACACATGAAAGTGCACTGCAAGTCTCCTCCTCCGAGCTCGGGTTACGACTCCTCCACCCCTTCCCTGGTGTCACCCTCCTCGGACTCCGGGCGGGACCCCCCAGGCTCGGCTGCAGCCCCCGCGGAGCCGGGCGCCTCGTCGCGGGCGGCGAACCTGAGCGAATGGTACGTGTGTCAGAGCTCCGGGCCCAACGCGCTCCCAGCTCCTCCCAGTCCGGCTCCGTCACCTGACTCGGGAGAGGCGGCGGCGGCAGAGGCGGCGGCGGCAGAGGCGGCGGAGGCGGCGGCCACGGCGGCGGGGGCAGCGGCGGCGGGAGCGGCGGCGGGAGCGGCGGCCACGGCGGCGGCGGCGGCGGCCACAGCAGCTGGGGCAGCGACTGCCGCTGCTCACACGAACTGCGACCCTAGGCCGTGTTACTAAAAAGGGAGAGGGAGAAATAAGCAAGGAAGGAAGGAAAAAAGGAAGGAAGGAAGGAAGGAAGGAAGGAAGGAAGGAAGGAAGGAAGGAAGGAAGGAAGGAAGGAAGGAAGGAAGGAAGGAAAGAAAGAAAGAAAGAAAGAAAGAAAGAAAGAAAGAAAGAAAGAAAGAAAGAAAGAAAGAAAGAAAGAAACCCACCAGTAATCACCTCCAGGGCTGTAGGTCCCCAATGCAGTCATGTCATCCTTATCGATCTTAAAATACAGAAAGATCTTCGCAGATCTGTCTCTAGTTATATTTTTATCTGATCACACGCACCTTTCCCCTTTACGCACTGTTCACAAATATACAAACACACCCCTGTATCCCCAGGCTGCTGCAGCCTGTGAGGGAAAACACTTCACAAAAGGGGATCCTAGATTCTGGGAGCTATTTCTAAAGGGACCGACCAAGAAAGAGGAAGGAAGGAAAGAAAGAAAGAAAGAAGAATAATGATAATAATAATGAAAGGATTGATGGGGAAACCCTGGTAACTTGGAAGAAGCCGGAAGCCTGGTAAAATAAATGGCCGAGGCTCTGTCATCAGGCTGGGAACTGTATGTTTTCCTAGGGGGAGGGAGGTCAGCGGGCCTGCAGGCGATTTCTAAGGGGTTGGCCTGCTCTCTTTCCCCCTCCCCCAAGCCCGCCCCTCTATTGCCCTGCCCTGCCCTCCCCTTTCCTTTCACCCCCACTTCCCATTTCTGCTTCCTCTCCCACTGGCTGGGTTGGCCTTCCCGGTGCCAAACTGTCTCTCATCGATTTCTGATTTCTTCTGCCATGATTGTATCAATGAACCAAAGTGTTTAGATTTTTTAGTGCCCCGGGATTTCTGGGTAAATGGATAGCCTGCGAGTGGCAAACGGCTCGCTCTCAACATTTCTGCCTGGTTTCTTTCCCCGCTTCATGTCCCAAACAAAATCTTGCCCTTCCTGTAAAACCCCAAATCCTTCAACAATTGAAGGTGATCTTTTTTTTAAATGAAGCCCCCCACATGTGTGATATATGTACACAACTACATGAAATGAGTGTACAAAATATATGCATGGGTGTGTACGTGTGTATGCACTATGTGTGCATATGCACGTATACATACAGATATATAATAGGCCATGAATAAAATTATTTAGGAGATGAGGGAGTAAAGAGTGGCCTAATGATTAGCTTATCCTTTCCCTTTATGTTCCTAAATCTAAGAGGCTGAATCCCATCTTCCCCTGCCTCCACCTCCAGCCTCCCTCGAAGCCATTGTCATTCATTTCTGTTGAATCTTGTGGGTGCTTGTGATTTCTCGGGGGTTGTGGGAAGGCTCTTCGTGGTGACGTCATTGTGCTCAGGCCACTTAGGCGAAATTACTTGTGTGAGGTGTTAGTTTCTCTGGATGAATCGTGTAAACTACGTGATGGTCTTTGTCTAAAGCGCACAGCCTTTGTCTTTTTTTTTAAAAGAAAACAAAAACAAAAGAAAGAAAAAGAAACACCAATAATAAATTTTGTAACGGCAAAAAGAAACCCACGGTGGTGCTAAAATGTGTATTATATACATATAACATATTGCGGTGTACACGACACCAGGGAAGGAACTCCCCGACGGAGAACCACATTTCCTGTGTCTTGTTTTTTGTCCTGACCTTTGAGTTCTAGGCAATGGGAGTGGGGGTGAGGGGTCGGGGTTAAGGAACTCACTTGCAACAGTTGCAAAGACAATTTAGTCATCATTTTCTTCTTCTGCATCTTCTCCTCTAGGAAGAGAAGGGCAATTTACTTAAAACTGTTGTCTGTTCATTGCTAAGTGCAAGACCAATTGTTTGTTTCCCAGCTCCGCCCTCATTCCCCACAGAATTTAAAGAACCAGGTGATTCAGGGGGAGTTGGCTTGGGTAGGGGGAATGTTAAAGGGAATGAGAGGGGACACTAACCAAAAGCACAAGATAAAAAATCTCCACACAAGGGACACACTGGCAGTTCTGAAACCTTTTCACGGAGGCAGTACTCTTTCTTGGGATTCAGTCTGGTTTTTTTTTCTATAGAAGCTTCTTTCAGATACCATTAAACAATTTTCACTTCGTAACACTCAGCCCAACAACTTCAACTAAATAAATAACTTACTAACTGTTGTGGGATTGTTTTCATTACACATAATGAAAACCTGATACATCCAAATACATCCTTGGTGAATTATCTAGTCAGTGAAAGGAAGGGGGGGGAGGGAACCCCTCATAACACAACAGCGCTGATAGCCATCAACTGCATCAACCGTGGGCAAAGTTGGTTGCAAAGTAATGTTTCTCATCACAAAACTTAAATTTTGGAATAGGAAGCTATTGAGAGGAGAGGAAGGGACAGGAAAGCGTCATCTGAGAAAGATTTTTTTCATTATGGAAGAATGTCTCTCTTTAAAAAAAATTATCTCGATGAGCTCACTGCTTTCTTTTCGTTCCTTGCTCCCGAAGAAAAATAAAAAAAAAAGTTTGACGATGTAGGCTAATCACCTTTAATTTTTCATTTGCTTGTTGCAGATGTCCACCGCGTTGCTCTCAAGGTAATCTAGACAGACGCAGCTGAAAGCTTGAATCTTATGCCTTAGACATCAAAGGGAGATCGCACAAAGAAGTATTTCTCCGCAACGGTGAATCTTCATGGTAAGTTAGGATTTCTATGGCAATAGGCAAGTCATACTTAAATACTGAAAGGCGAAGTCTGGAGCCCGTCCAGTCTTTTCATTAAGGACATAATATTTACGTCTAACAGGCCTTTTTTCTTGTGTATACAAGTATATATTTTTGTTTGACGCGAACTAAATCATTTTCATTTAATTTCCGGTAAACAAAAACCACGCGAATGGGCACTTGTTCCAGATCATAATAAAAATGGATAATAATGTCAGGAAGAAAAGGGCCGCCTGAATTGACGCGTCAGTTCCCCTTTGTCTCTGCATTCTGCCGTGATCAGAGAATGCATTTGGATTTGATGGCGAGTTTCTAAAGGCAAGGAAATGGTTTTTAAGGGGGAAAGAAAAGGAGAAAGGTCTAATCAAGCTCGGGTTGTTCAAAGAGTCTGATTTTGGGGTTGAAAGTGTGAGTTTTATGGTGCATCTACATGGCACGTTAGGATCGCTATGGTAATGAGGAGAGCAAAAGCAAGCGGCCCTCAATGGAGGCACACTCCATTTGAGACAGTCTATTAAGATACATTTGCACTGACCTTTGGTTTCATGCTAGTTTAATACAGTCAATCTGCTCTCCATCATATACTTCCTGCACATAATACACTTTCTCAAATTTGGGTGTTTGTACTTACCCGAGACCCTGGCTCTTGTTGTGCCTGGGATTTTAGTCAATGTTCTCCCTTTACCCCCAATCATTACTGTTCTTATTATTACTGTATTGTGTTGTGCGCAGTATTGTTGTTTATTGTCAGAAAAGGAAGAGCTGGTCTCTGAGAACCTTTACTGCCCCCCAAAGACGATCCAGGGTCAGTGGTGAATGTCTCCTGGCAACGTCAGAAGCTTTAAAACTAAAATCGAAAAAGGAAAGAAAGAAAGGAAGGAAGGAAAAAAGGAAGGAAGGAAGGAAGGAAGGAAGGAAGGAAGGAAGGAAGGAAGGAAGGAAGGAAGGAAGGAAGGAAGGAAGGAAGGAAGGGAGGGAGGGAGGGAGGGAGGGAGGAAGGAAGAAAGGAAGGAAGGAAGGAAGGAAGGAAGGAAGGAAGGAAGGAAGGAAGGAAGGAAGGAAGGAAGGAAGGAAGGAAGGAAAGAAGGAAGGAAGGAAGAAACAAAACAGATCTCATCCATCAGAACACTTCATTTTCCTGTCCTTAAGTTAGATGAGCTTGGAAAACCAGGACATCGAGACGGGCTGTAGGAATGAACCACAACGTCAGTCAGTGAGGAGGACTGACTGCTGGCCACTTTCACCATTTCCAAGCTCCCTTACTCGTTTAACTCCCTACGACCTTCACTTGTCCCAAGGAAGATGTTTATCAAAGTCTAAACTTCTAGTGGCCCAATCTCCTGTTCTAGGGATGCTGCTAAGGGCAGCTGGGGAAGAAGTCTGGGGGAGACTGGAATATGCAAGCATTCCTGGGAAGGAAGGCCAAGGCGTTAGGGAAGATCCCAGGAAAGTTAGAAGTCCATGTTTCAGTAATTGTCTTGTTGTTTATTTTATCCAAGTACCCCAGTGAATAGGGGAAAAATAAACACGGTGAAAAAAAATTCAAACAGTTGAGTCTTCTTTAGTGCCAGCCCTTGTGGTTGAATAAAAAGGATGGTCCGCTTTCTATTGAGCTGAGAAATCTTTGAAGTGGGAGTTATTATCTGAGACATTCCTGCTTGTCGTCCTAACAACGCTGATGAAACGTAAAACGGGCTTTGTTGGCGATTTGTTCTCCTCTGTCAAACTCCCCCTGCCTGCTAGCTTTAAACCGTTTCTAAAGAGATAAAATCGAACTTTTTTTTTTTTTTAAGATAACTTTAGGGCTCTCAAGTCTATACAGCAAAGGGCAAACCATATAAGTACAAGTCCACAGGCTTGCCCGTCTTTGCAGACCCCAGCACACATTTTGGTACACACTTAAGAAAATGGCGATGTGTGTGTGTGTGTGTGTGTGTGTGTGTGTGTGTGTTGTACATGGCCAAGTGGAACACTTTTAGAGAATGGGGAACTTTTTTTCCCTCTTCTTCTTAAATACATGGAATTCAGATGCTGGCATCAGTTGATTACCTGAAAGGGCGGAGAACACGTTCTTTTAGAAATTCCCAGTAACCCACAGAAATCACACCCCTCAACACACTCTCCTCAACCCTCAAAGTTACAAGGAAGTCCTCAGCTAAAAACAGACTCATTCTATTTCCTCAATCCCACCATAGTTAGTACAGCCCCTTCTAGAAAAAAATAAAATAAAATAAAAGTAGGTGAGAGAGACCTCGGCCTGCTCCAGTGGAATGATTATAATTCGGTGTTTACATTGGGATATCTGACAAGTAAGTAAGAAAGCCATGTAGCTCCTCTAATAGGCATACAAACGAAAAATCACCTGTGAGCCTACAGATGAATCTTCTTACTGTGTGCATAGACAGATCTTGGAGCTTTTCCTCAGTCCTGATTCTCTGAAACCTCATGTTTTTCTTTTAAAGGTGGCTTAAAACACACACATACAAAAACCCAAACCATTCAGGATATTTAGGAGGTCCTCCTTCTCTCCCCTGTGTGTGATGACTAAATGATTTGTAAAGAAGTTTCCTAAAGCTGTAACCCATGCTGTTATTATAGTTGCTGCAAAATGTTGTCTTTTCTATTGATTTTTATTTGTTTACTGGAGGTCCCCATATGTTTGTTTATATCGCTAATTTATGGGAAAATGTAATGATCGCAATGAATGTGAATTATACAGACAGGAAAACGTTTTGTAACCGTAACTCACAAAGAATGCCCTACTGAGCCCTCTGAATATTTCTCATCCTTCCCTTCCAGATTGTGATTTATATCTTGCCTTCAGCAGGAGTTAAATTATAAAGTAACTTTTTTTTTACTTGTTCTGTTGTTTGAAAACGACTATACTACTACGGAAAGAAAATATTCCAAACAGCTGATGAATCTTGCTGTAAATATGTACAACTTGAGTTCTGTGACCCTTTTCCCCAAGATATAGACTAAATGTGCAGATGATGTTTCATTCGTTCTTTCCATTATTCTAAAATAAATGACATATGTATCTTCCCATCTATTTCGATTCTGGGTTTCGAATGATTGCTCTATCTTCGGGTATAAATTTGTCCTCCAACTCTCAATCTCCGTGAAGCAGGAAAAGGGGTTTTGGATTGCTTGTCTTCCACTATGGGAGCTTTTTTTTTTCTTGTTTGGAAAAGGAAATCAGAAGGACAAACAAACTGGCCAATTTAGACTTCGGTCCCTGTTCTATTTACATCTACTTCCAATCAACAAAACTTTAAAAATGGACTGGACATTTGAGGCTGCGGTGGGGATGGGGGTGTCGGGTGTATGACAAAGGTATCGGGAAGTATGACAAAGTTGTAAGCGCTTGCAGTCAAAGCCTTTTCCTTTTTTGAATCTATTTTTTCCTCTGCCGCTAAATCTCTGGCTGACCAGTGCCACCACCCTGGCCTCTCGGAACCATTTCTATGAGCAGGTATATCTGGAGGGGGAAAAAAAGCAAATCATTACAGACGTTGATTGGGCGCATTTTTGCTCTCCTCCTCCCCCACGTGGAACATCAGTCCTGTCCATCCTGGTCGGGCATCTGGGACTTCATTTAGTGGGCTCAGCTCAGGGATCTTTGTGTCTCCTTCCGAAGCTGTGGTCCTTCTCAAGGAAGTCCGAACTGCTTCCTATAAGCCCAGGACTGGCTGGGGATTGTTTTGTTTGTTTGTTTGCTTGTTTGTTTTGAGAGTCCTGGGGGGATTGGAGGGGAGAGCCATTTGTGATCCTTCTTCCAATATCTGAATCTGCACTTTCAACTCGTTTTAACAGTTGAAATGTGCTTAGTTTCCTGGACTAGGCCCTTTTAGGCTTATTTCGTGGCTCCCTCTCTCTTCTGTCCGGACTCACAGTAGCCAATGCCTGTCCTGGGCAACTCTCATTTGGGTGCAAAGATATATATTTTTTCTTCTCTGTCTCTCTGTTTCTGTGTCTCTCTCTCTGTCTCTGTGTCTGTCTGTCTGTCTGTCTCTCTCTGTCTCTCTCTGTCTGTCTCTGTCTCTCTGTCTCTCTCTCTCTGTCTCTCTCTCTCTCTCTCTCTCTCTCTCTCTCTGTCTCTCTCTCTCTCTCTCTCTCTCTCTCTCTCTCTCTCTCTCTCTCTCTCTCTCCTCCCCCCACCCCCGGCCTCTTAAAAACCCCGCCTGCGCTTTAAGCCTAGCGCGCATGCGCTACGGCTTTGAGCTCTGTGCTGTCTTAACTTAAAAGAAGTTGCCTCAAGCAGGCAAGGGATGTCAAAGCGGAGTTTCTAGGGTGGAAATGGAAATACTGGGGCCTAAAGGGGGAGGGGAACCAGCAAAAAAAAAAGTGAAGGAAGGAAAGAAGAAAGAAAAGAATGTTTCCTTGTGGGGAGGGAGGGAGGAAGAACCAAAGTCCTGAGGAAGGAGGAGGATGAGGAGGTAGTAAAGGTGAAGGTGAGAGACAGAGACAGAAACAGAGACAGAGATAGATAGAGAGAGAGAGAGAAGAAAAAAGAAGACTCCCAGAATGTGAGCACACAGTTCTACGGGTCCCCATGACTGAGCGAAGACGCGTAGTTATCACATTTGACTGTAGACATTGAGAGATGGAATGTCCCCTCCGACAGCATGGGGAGAGACGTGTGGGCATTATTCGTGGTCCCTTTTATAGACGCTGCCTTTTCTTTCTAGGACTGACGAACCATTTTGGAAGGATCCATCCCCTGTTGCTTCCTATCATCGATCCCCATGCAAACCCAGCCATTGTGCAAGTGCATTAATTAGAGACCATTCATTTCACAAAAGCACAAATGGTACGTAAAGGAAGTGAAGATTAGAAAATGGGAATGGGGAAAACCCGAGCCTAGGGATTTCCCGCGGAGTCCTGGCTCCTGGGAGAGAGAAAGTCCCGTTCCCCTCTCGTCCACCCCTTGCCCGCTTCTTCCAGGTCTGCGGATTCTGCATTCATCCACAGGGCCCAGAAACGCAAACCATTCCCTAATCTTTACTCCTCAAGGACAACTAGCTCTCAATGAATAGTGAAGACAGATTCGTTTTCTTGGGTGCACCCAAGGACTGATTTTCTACTGAGGACTCCCTCATCTTCCACCTTGAGCTCCCAAGCTTTCTTAGGGAGTAAAGGTGGGCAATATCTCTAGCAGAGTCCATCGGGCTTAAGTTGCTGCTCCTTTAAAAAGCAAAAACAAAACAAAAAAAATCTCTGTGTGGGGTGAGGTGGGGGCAGAGCATAAAGTGTATTTGGTAAGAGGAGGGAAAGGGTTCTTAAAGTTAACTTTCCCAAATCAGGAGAAGGAAGTGGTCCCAATCCACTGTTTGCATCCACCCTTGGAAAAATGTTGATTTCGGTGCCACTATTGAGAAACCTGATACCTTTTTAAACAGTCAGATACCTGCGATCCTCAAGGAACACTCACCCTCACAC